CTGAAAATTTCTGTACCTAGTTTGGCATGGAGAATAATCTTGTCTTTCATGCAGCCCAAACATCTCTAGGAATTAAAGGAAATGGAGATTCAGGTTCTGCAAGTTCCAAAAAATCATTTGCATTAATCAACAGAATTATACTGTTGTAAAATTCTCAGGTGTCTATTCCTTTTATTTATGAAGGTTTGATTTTAAGTCAGTGCTAAGAGACACATTTTGCATAAACCAGACTTCAGGAGTCCAAATTATAATGAATTAACTCTGAATACAGCTTTTGGTAAGCTTTACAACATTTACTTGTCTGGTGAGATTTTGAGTTTGGGCTTTGGAGTAGGTGTCAGGTTTGGTTGGTGGGGAGAAAGGCATTGTTGCCGTTGGTTTGGGTTTTGGGCTTTGGGGGTGGTAGTATTTCCTTTGATGGGTGTTTTGTATTTCTTGATTCACAGCCATATGCCTACAGATTTTATTGATAATTTTTCCTTATTTTTGATTTTAAAAATAGATATTATGTTTGCTGGTTTAGAATTGCTCAGCTGGCAAAAGTTTAAATTGATATCCAAAAAGTCAGTCCATGCCTCTCCTTTAACCTGCAGGGCTCAGTCCTACTTGACCCTTCCTTCCAAGCAGTATTGCAGTGTCTCGAGCAAAGAAAGAGCCTACAAAACCCAAAACTAACATAAGGCTGAATAAAGAAAGGCAATTAATGTCAAGATGATTGCACTAAACTTGCCTAAGAATTTAAGTCCCTATTATACAATTTAAACTAAAGATAGATGCACTGTATGAATCAGATCCACCAGCTGAATGCTAATTGATCTAAATCACCCCATTATATTAATTTTGCACTGACATTTCCACAGTTGCAAGAAACTACCAAGATACAGCACCCCATCCTAGTCAGGGAGGTAAAATGCAATTCTGCACCTTTAAAAACAGGAATGCTCTCCTGACTGAAAAACCTGCTCTGAGAAGCAATGATTTGAGAATTCCCAACACAATGAAGGATTTGTTGAAAGGAGCAGGCAGATGCAGACTCCAGCTTCAGACCAAGGCAGGCAGTGCTTACATAACACTGAGGGCTCCAGCAGACAACTTACATAAGGGAAATCTCAGGGAGCCTTAAACAGGCTTCTGGTCAGGAACAAACCCTTGTGGGAGGACCAAGAAATTAAGGGTATTTTCACCATTCCTACAGTCGCAATAAAAAATAACAAAAATTCAGGAGGAAATGAAGAATTATCAAAGCTCAGAATATTTTTTTTTAAAAAGAGTGTCATCAAAAGGAACCTGAGAAAGCACAGACCACGCTGCACTTTCACACAGACACTGATTTAAGAGCTTTACTGTATTACTACAGCATTCCCCAAAGCCTGTTTTCCAAAATTCTAATTGCAGCAGCTGAAGTGAATATTTTCCTGGCACCTAAGCCTTGCTTTTCATCCCATATTTGAAGCCTGGCTTTGCCAGTGGGCTACACTCTCACATTCAGTATAAGACCCACTAAACACAGAGTGTTTACAAAAGAAAAATATCATAAATGTCAGGATTCAAATAAGGCAGATGTCTTTTGACAATCTAAGGAAAAAAAACAACACCTAAGAGAGAATTAAAATTAGTTCTTAGGCCCCAGTAGTATTTGCCAAGTAAGTGAAGAGTATGAACATCTCTACAGCATCAAGGAGTCTCTCCAAATCTATATGACAACTGTAAAACCTCCAGAAACCAGACAAATTACAAATAATACAGTTCTGTTTGCTACTGGATGGTTTCTCATACACTTAATGGTGTCCCATTTCTTTGAAAGCAAGGAGCATTTTTTTAAAGTGCTAATTTTGCTTAAAACCTCATTATAATTTCTGAAATTACTTACTGAACTATTATTTTCCAAGCAATTTGAAGCATCTGCATTTAATCTAAAGTCAATTTTGGGAAATGTCATGTATCCCAGGTAGTTCTAGAGGCATAGCAAAATACTTGGATAAGATTATCATAATGACATAAGATTATCATAATGACAAAAAATAATGAAACATTATTAAGATATGGGAAGTAGTGGATTTTAAAAAATACTTTCAAAAAGCAACCAAAATATTCTTTTACATCTTTTGCAAACTCAAGAGGACACCAGTGCTGATGTTCACAGTACAGCAAGACCTTAAGAACTGCAATAACTCCATCAATATTCACAACAGTAAACTGGCAAAAAAATTCTTTAATGAGTATCTCACACGAATTAATTTGCTCAATGAAATTTTAGTGTGGGCCAAATGACTCAATGTGCAAAACATTTGGGCAGTAGAGACTGTCAATCACGCCTTGACTGTGAGCGCATCCCTTTGAAAGCAGCACTCACTCCGTGTGCTGACAAAATGAATCAAGTAACCTTTACATTAATATTTCATTTAGCAAGCCTGTATTAAGCTAAATGGCACTCCAAAGCAGTTGACAGTTGAGGAATCTATACTGTCCAGATCCATAATCATACACACATTTTGTATCTTCACTTGTTTAAGGATGCTTAATTCGTAATCAGGAAATGTGGGCTCCTCTGGTAATATCAGAATTCTCACTGCTTCTAAAAGTGGAATCTTGACTTTAAAATGACATGGATCTGATCACCCAGAGCTCACGGTAAATACCAAACATATTCTTGATGCCTGGCTAGTTGGGAGGAAGGGGGTGGGAAAAAAAGGCATTTGTACTTCAAGCCCTCCTGTGCTTTCACCTCCTTAACTGTTGTGACAACCTCTGTCACTTACTTTGCATGTTGAAAATACTTGCAGACCTTGAAGTTTGGTATGTTTCTAGTCAGACAAGCTTACAGAAAAATATACTTTATAACCATAGAAAAAAGTACATGCTACAGTTATCTGGCATCCAGGCTCATTTGCCACAATCAACACCAGGATACAGCAAGCTTAAATGGACAGAGACATTTTGAAATTCTAAATAGAAGAAAAAGCAACAGACATCTTATAAAAACTACTGCAACCAGAAGGAAGAAAAAAATAAAAAAACAATATATGTGACAGAGGAGTAAAAATGCTCCAAATACCTGCCAAACCTGTGTTTTTTCCTTTTCTCTTTTATTAAATAAGGAAATATAAGCAAGAAAGAAAAACAGAATAGCTTTGAAAAAACAAACTGTCCACCTTCAAAACCAGAAGCACAGACTGATTAGTGAAACAGAAAGGATGCTGATGAAAAGGTAAAATGAATAGCTTCCAATTACCTACAATTATAACAACCAATAGGAAGCAATCTTGCTACTTCAGAGGGAAAAAAAAAACACATCACAGAAGGGATGACAGCAGCATCTACTATGAGGAGGAGAAGGAGGATTAAGGATTCCATACTGACTCTTGGTGGATTTTACCATGATTGCCACACACGGTACATTCCACATTCTCCTGGCAAACCTTGGGCTCAGGCTGGGTTGGTTTCACTTCTAAAACCATTTTTTGCACAGAAATGGCTGCACATGGAAGAGCTCCAAAGTTAAATAAAGATACGTGTTTGTTATGGCCTAATAAAAAAAATAAAGCTTTTTAATAATACTTGATTGCAAACTAATCAAAACTGAAAGCTCCATCTGCTTTATGAATTTAAGGTGTTCATAAAAAACAGTGGCAATGTAAGACTACACAGATTTTAAAGAATGTGAGCTGAAAGTATAATAAATATTGAGTGTCCAGATTTTCATAATAAAATGAAAGCTTTCCCAACATATTGAAGTGAAGCCATTTAAAGGCCTTGAAAGCAGTATGAGACCGCAAATATTTTTGTTCTTAATAGTTCGGTATTTTAGCTTAGTGAAATTCATGTTTTACAGTCCTGGGTATACAAATCTGAAAAGGCAAGCTCCTAAAGAACTCATATGTCTTTAGTAATTACTAAATCCAGTTGCTTTCATTTTAAAGGATAGCACAAGCTTATTTCAGCTGCTACACGTACCGTTATATAATTTCACACATATATAAGCCTTTTGAAATAAATACCAAAAGCTCAAGGAATAATTTCCCTCACAATCAGACAAAAAATAAGTGTACTCAGAACTAAAAATCACATCTACAAAAAATTCAACAGAAATTTAATATATGGGTTAAATGAGTGTTTTGATCAGTGAATGTCTCAATGTTTTCCCATTTACATATTACATTTTGAGAATAACATGTTAAATGCCCCAAAATAGCAGTCTCAATCTAAGATATACCTCTCTTAGTCTCTCATTTTGTTTGCAACTGTTGTAAAAATAAACTGCCCACAACAGAGAAGTTTACTATACATTGCATATTTAAATTAAGTCCTTGATATATACCTAATACTCAAATCTGCTTTTTCATTACCCTCTGTCCCAATTATGTAGACTTATACCAATTCCTCAAGTTTTTGCTATACTTCACCAGCTTATTACCCAGCTGTGCAGCTGAGCAAGAAGATAACCACATTCATTCCTCTTATCTATAATGATGTAATACATCTCAGCACTGGGTTGAGATGATTGGGGGAATAATGGCATTGTAAAAACTGCAGAGATGACAAACAACAGTGCAGCCGCCTTCTCCTGATACAGTGCATTGTGTACTTAGAGCCCAGGGTGAAAATAATACAATATGCACTAATTCTGCTCCTTGAATGAAGTTAATATCTTTCATAAGAAACAGCTGTTTCTGCACAGAAACATCACCATCATCACAATGCAGCAACCAGACTAAACACCCGCAACCTGGGCTGAAGCCTAGGCTACAAGAAATAAGCGTTGGAGTTTACTTTCCAATGAAAAAAAAAAAACTCATTCCAACAGAAAAATATCAGGTTAAGCAAGGACTCTACAGATAGTGCAGTGCAATGCAAAGAGTCATCAGGGACTAGTATGCAATACAAAAATAGATCTTGGACAAAAGCACGCATAGCACTGCTCTCCTCTTCATTTAAAAAATTAAATCTGCCTCCATTTTCTCTGTTAAAACCTTCCTTATTACAACCAAAGAAATCCTTACCTTCTGTAGGAGCTGGGAACCTGAGTATTTGGCTGCAATAGATTTGATCTCTCCACCAAATGCTGAAGCCCAGAGCTTTACACTGTGAAGAAAAAAAAGAGACAGGAAGAAATGTAATACACATGTCAGAGCTAGCAACAGAGACTGTAACAGCTTCAGCTGCAGTCAGAAGGATCCGAGCAATTTTGCATTAGAGAGCTCACTAAGGAACCTAAGCACAGCAAAAGATCAGTGAAGCTGTACAACTGTAAGTACAAACTAGACCCTGTGCTAAGGTAAGGCCTCTGATATGAAATTACCAACCTGAACCACTAACATTTAAGGAATTAACTTGTACAGAAACATGCTTTGGCACAACATGACATATATCCATTGAAAGGAAAACAGCAGATAAAATGGCAAAACAGTTCTGAATGATAAATTCCCACATGAGAAAGTGTTAACAGCATCAATTTCAGTAAATGCAAGCACTTAAAACTCAGTGGCCACATACTCCACCAACACATGCTCCTACAATAAAATCATAGTGCCAAGCACCTTGGAGACAACCACTTCAAACAGAGCTGACAGAGGAGCAAAGGTGCCCTGGAACAGTCAAATATCTGCAATACAAAACCAGGAGAACTTGAGCAGCCAAGTTCTCATCCTTGAACATGGTCCTGAGAGGAATAGCATGAAAGCACTTACACTGACAAGGGGATCTGCTGCTCCGATCCAACCACATCCACTAAGGCTGTGTTAAAAGCTGTCCAGAAGATAAAGAATAAACCCCCAAAAGCCCGAAGAAGGTTCAGGTTCTCTGGCATTGTGCCTCTCTGTGCCTGGAAAGGTTTGGGGAAAATCAAGTGAAGCTTAGTTCAGCAGCAGTGGGGCTTGGCTTCTAAAAGCTTCTTTTCCCCCACTCTTACCCCCTTCCACTAGAAGGGGACAGTGGAACACTGGAAAAGAATAATTCACAGCTCCATCCTCATTCTTCCAAAGAATGACCCTCTCTGTGTAATAGGAGCGGGACCAGAATCGAAGCTCTAATGACTTGAAAACTATTGTGTCCCTGGTAACAGCAAAGCGTTTTCCAGCACTACTGCAGCCACTTGCATGTAGTTCTTTACAACTCCGCAGTCAGCAGTGTGCCGAAGTTACTTCAGTGACCTACTGCTGCTCCAAAGTGCCCTTAGCAGCAAGAAAGCAGACTATTGATCCCAGCCGGGAAGGCTGTCTTCTCGCAATTACTGCTCACTTTGCAAATGGAAAGCTGCCTAGAGTTCTCCTTTCCCTCGCCGATAACCTCCAGCCTTCATCCCAGATCAAGGCAGGCAGAGCATCGGTTCAGCGCAGCGGGAGCAGCAGCCTTTTAACGGGATAGCGCCGAGACAGGCAGGCACAGGAGGAGCTGGACCGGAGGAGGGCACGGCCAAAGCAAAGTCTGGAGGAGCTGAAAGTGCAGTTGAGCCCTTCCAGGAAGGCGAGAAGAGCGCGCTGCACATTGCCGGGGGCTGAGCTTGGGAGGGCTCGGCGGGGCTGGCAGGGGCGGGGGCGTGGGGCCGCGCACACCCACCGGAGAGCGCTCCAGGCAGGGCAGGGCTGCGTGACGAGCACCTGTCCGTCACACAGCCCGGAGCGGCGCCGGCCGCCCGGAGCGCAGCGCTGGCGCTGGCCGGAGCATCCCGGCCGCAGGGAGGAGAGCGGCGGTCCCTGCCCGCGGAGCATCGCCCGGGAGCGGCGGCGGCGGCTGCCCGGAGCGAGCCCCGGCTGTCGGTCAGGCTGGCACATTTTTTATTTAATCGAGTCGTAGGGAGCACGTCCTTGTGCATAAAGGCGCGTTTGCTGCTTCCTCCCACGCCGGAGCACTGCAGCAAGTCGCTCTCCGAGAGCTCGGGACCAGCAAAGGCTTATGAATGAAAAGAAATGCAGCATAAGTAAATCAATGCGGGCTGACTCCAGCCTATGAATAAATTATTAATTTGTGCTCATAGAAGAATCCTCTTGATATAGCAAATATAGGATTACAAGCTCTTCCACTGAGGGAGCAGCGTACGGAGCAGGAGGGATTGGTCCAGGTATTTTTGTTGTTGTTGCGTTTTAAAATATACCCTCCCTCCTTTTGCTTTTATTCTTCTCCTTCTGCTTTTTTCTCACCTTCTACTCCACTAAATGTGCAGACTTAAAATAGCTACTGAACTTTAATGTAAACAAGTATGGCAAGACCATGATCTGAGCATGGGCTGAGTCATCCTTGCATCCTACAATATAGCTCGAGTGTCCGCTCCAGAATTCTAGTTTCTTCCCTCTGTAGTTAGAATTAACACCTCAGAATATTCACTCTGCCTCTGTACACTGTTCTTATCTTAATATTTTCTATATTGAAGCTCGAGATGTATTACCTGTATTTCTTTCCACATTAACATCTCTAAGAGCACTGAATAGTTTGCTTTAAACATCAGAACCTCTATTCAATACCTAGCTGGCAAAAGCTTCCCTGCTTTCTCAGAAGAAATGAGAAGTTTAAAGATAGAAAGACTAACAGGGGAACTGTGCAGAACAGAGTAGCACAGCACCCTGCAACTTTCACCACCCACCCCACCATGAACAGTAAATAGATCACATTTCCCTCTGTACTAATACCTTCATATGAAGGCAATAAAGAAAAAAATGCTTAAAAGGAACATTTGTTTTGTGTATTACTGAACCATTTTGAACGTCCTGTTATCTGTGCTGTTACTGTGGATTTCCTAAGCAGTGTTTAAAACATGCTGCCATGTCACCAGGTGTTCAGCTTACCTACAGGCAGAAATGTAAAAATGCACACTGTTGACTAACAGTATATAATCAATTATGTGCTCCTTTGAACATATTACATAAACAATAGTATCTTTGCAATGCCAGGAATGAAACAGAAATGGGTGAATGTCTTAATACTTGTGCTGTTTGCTTCTTTTTACATGCTAAACACTGTCAGACAGTAAATTCATAAGCTCATTTTGTGAGATTCAAACAGTTCTTATGTTAACAAAGATCCTTATCTGCTTCAAGCAAACACAGTGCCCTGATGACAAGTAACAGTTACCTTCATTTCTGAAAGCATTATTGGAAGCATTTTGAAAGCACACAAAATGTTTGTGTTCAAGGCCAGCAAAATTTAACATAGAATTAACCCATCACTAATTACTGGCAAGAAAAGATGATAAAGTCATTCATCAAACCTTGACTTTGTTTATATTTATCATACATTCAATACTATATCAGACCTACAGACCTGGTGTGTGCAAAATTGGACACTCATTTGTTTAATACAAAAATTGTATCATTACTAGTCTAAGAAACTAAATTCACTAAGAAAATTAATTTTTGCTTGGAAGAATAAGCTTCTTTTGTGTTAACAAGCACTTGTGCACACCACACCTCAGAGTGCTTTCAGCACCTTTCACTAGTGCACACTGGGTTTGTCTGTGCAGGAAATCAGCTCCTCACGACCATTCAGTGCATGGAAAGCAAGCCTGAACCACAACACTCACAAACCATCTCAGGTGACACCACAACCTGTCTGCAGCTGTGTCCTGGCCTGAGCACTGCTGACTGTTCCTGGTATGCAGATCACTGCAGTCGTGACACCAGATTCAAAATTCATGTCAGCATTTCTCCCATGTTGCTCCCATCAGGATGCAGAAACTTTCCCTAAGTGGGTTTGCATAATGAAGGACCAAGAGAAACACAAGGAAAAAAAGTGGTAAGTCCTGCTGAAGAGTTTCAGTCCTTTTTACTGGGGTTAGAGCAATGTGTTTCATTATTTTCTACAGTCTTGTGATGTCCTGTTGCAAAGGCAACAGAAAGCCACATTTCGAAGCATAGTAATGAATTTATCTTTTGGAAGTAATGTGGCATTTCTATCATGTCTTATGCTGTTAGAGACAACTGCTGAATCTGGAATAATTTCTGATCCCACCAGAAAAGTGTATGCACAGATAACTGACCAGAGAAGGAAAGCATTCATGCACATAGTAAATACACATTCTGAAACCAAAGTGCATCTCAGCAGAAAGTGCAGGTAAGTTCCTTACATGCCACTGGTCCCTGAAGTAGAGCTCACCATACAAGTGTATTAAGTTGCATCTCCCTGCTCCTGGGTCTCTCATTTTTAAGGGATAAAAAATGGCAACTAATTTTCTGCTGTGTCCTTGACAATCAAGCACAATGGTGTTTTTTGGTATCTCGCAGAAAATGAAATAAGCTGTTTTCCCTATGAAAGCAGAAATAAAACTTGGATATGTGACTCAAATGTTGTAATGGAAAGTCACAGACAGGAACAGAGAAACTTGATGAATCCCCAAAGGTTTTTCAGAGGATCACATTCAAGAATAACCAAGGGATTGCAGAAAAAAAAACAAAAAATACAATCAAACCAACCAACAAATAAACAAAAAAATCTAGGTCAAAGGATAATATGAGATATGACAAAGGCTGAAGCACAGACTACAGAGTAAAGCAAAGCCCCACATAATAACTACCTGATGAATTAATCTCATTGTTCTTTTCTTTTACCTCCAGGTATATTTACACTTATGAAAGGGTGCAGAAACAGGGTCACAACTGCATTATTAGTGTGTATTTTGAGGTCTCCAAGGTCTCTCACTTGTCAAACCCTAATAAAAGTCAATCAAGAGCCATACAGAGAAGAGAACATATGGTGCACTGGAGAAGGGTAGGAGGAAATGATATAATTAACACAAAGGTTTATTATATTTTTTTTTCTGATGCTTATCTACAATGAGTTCTAAACAGAGTAATAAATTCAGAAGGCTGAAGTACTAAAAGCCTTGCTGAAGATGTAAGCCACCTCCACTGGAAATTAATATTTTCAAAAGAACACAAGAAAGGAAAAAAGTCAGTTTATCTATATTCCACATATATTAGAAGATTCAGATACTGCAAAAATAGAAAAGCTCTAACTACTCTATATGATGTGGTATTAATACTTGCTTTGTACCACATTCCTCTGCACTTCTAAATACTAAGATTATAAATCTTAGTGTGTATTCTCCACAGTGATTTTTTTTATTTAACAGACTAAATTGTCCATTCTCACTCTTGTTTGATATACTTCATTTTATAAAGTATCCCTTAAATAAAGGCAGTGGGAGAATAAAAAGGGAAAAAAATGATAGGATATAGAGTCACCTCATACAGTAAATTATTTATTTTAATGTCCCATGGTAAAAATCCTTCCAGCCTTTGACAACTCCATGAACTTTCCTCTTACTTCTGTATAAGCATAATGTTTCACATGCACTTACTCGTGGAAAATAGATGCAGGAGAAGTAGAGGGATAACAAAAGTTATCTCAGCTTTGCAAAGCTTGAGACTGTCAGATGAAAGGCAAAATCTGAAGGTTCTGAATTTATTATTTGGAAACAGCCCAGTGGTGGAAGCACTCAGAGCAGTGTTTGCCTGCTGTGAGAACACAGGCTCGCTTGTTTGGAGTGATCTGTACATCTGAGGAGAAGCAGGAGGCTGCACATGAAGCCTATTCTGGAAAGGCTGAACATGTATTCCTAGAATTTGATGGAGCTCCCATGTGTCTAAATCTAAATGTTCCCCTGGTGTGGGAATGCCAGGCTATTGACCAATTCCAACCCACTTACAGCAAAGATTGAGGTCAAGTGGCATTACTCACTGGCTTAAATGAGCACAGCTTCACATAATGGGCATGAGAGTGTTTCAGAGAAACAAAAATCCTGCAGAAATTCTGAACCACATCAGTATTTATGTGCAACTTTACAATATTATCACCTTGTTTGTGTATGTTGTTCAGGTCAAATCAAGCACTAGTATTTAATCCATGAGAGCATTAAGAGCATGCACAACCAATTTTTACATATAATCAATCACTTACGCAACTAGAAAAACAAATACCTAAAGATTTTTAAGAATAATATTATACAATCCTAATTAGTATGTTGGTAGTACAGCATTTGAGGTTTCTGTCACATTATCTTTAGCACATTTCAACACCCAATAAAGCTCACAGTTTGCCACAACCCCCCAAGGAACATGTGGTTAATTTTGCTTTCACAAAGCCTAAGATCAGCTGGCTTTTGAATCTCCACAAGGAGTTAAAATGCAAAAGAGCAAAGCATTATCAATCCCAGCCTATGAGAGCTCATACTGCATGGCAAGCTAGAATGCTTTAAGCTAATTATGTTTATAGCTACCCAAATCCAATTTCAGCAGTCCACTGTAGCTCTAGTCTGTTACTGCCATTTTACATAAGCTTCATTTATTTTGAATTTTCAACTATTAAGACAAAGTCTGCCTTTGGTTTCTTTCAAGTGTTTCATGCTGGGAAATTAACTCTTCTCTAAGCAAATAAACTATCTTTTTACTCCCAAAGCTAGTGCTAGGTTGCAAATGTTAATGCTTTCAATGAATTCAAAATACCTGCAAACTGAAGATAGGACTTAAAAATGAGAAACTATAATTAAGACCTCTGATATAATGAACGGAATGCTATGGAAATTAACCTATCTAGCATTCTGACAATAAAAAAAACCCAAACTAGGGGCCACAGAATATTTAAATGTGAATCTATTGCTGTTTACACTCTAGAATGAACCCCATCATGTCTATAATGGCCTGTGAATATTCCCCCCAAACCTTACAAATTCCTCAGAGTCACTTGAAGGGACCCTTGTTGCAGCATCAAGGGTTAGGAAAAACATTACATTGCGTTGCCTTTACTCCAGACCTTGGCAGGATTGGTGACACTGGGTGCCAAAAATGAAGTATTCAAGGGAGGAGGGAGGAGCAAGAGTCCCAAGCAGCCCCTGCCAAAGGGGCACCTTCTGCAGCAGGAGATGAAGTGACATCTGTGCAGCCACTGTCATCAGGGAGGTCAAAGTTCCAACCACTCAGCTGAAAGCAACCTGCAGACTTTAGGTTGGCATGCAATTATTTTCAAAATAACACTCTTCTTGCTAAGTGGAAAACATAACGTGGCTTTTAATCCAAGAAACAGTGCCATGTCAAGTAATTACACAGAGCCATAAGGTACTTCAGAGGCCCATAATTCTGTCACTCTCCTATTAATTCCTACATCACAAGTATGAATTTTGTGGTGGGAATGTGGCTTTTATGAAGTCTTGACTAAACTGCCAGTTTCTTGATCTGATATTCACCACATTTCTGCTTCTTGAGTACAGAAAATGGATTTTGTATAATTCCATGGCAGCAGTT